GGGGGGGGGGATTGCCTAGAGCAGTGGTTCTCAACCTTCCTTTTACTCCCATTGAACCTTCATGCATTCGGGGGGGTGACACCTCCCAGGTTGAGAACCACTGGCCTAGAGGGAAGTGCAACATCGACGATAGCCTCCTCCAGCCTCGACAATCACCAAAATGTATTAGTCCGTGTACGGTACGTTGGTAATACGCCCCTACAGGTGTAGCCGTTTCGCGGAAACATCGTGCGTCATCCACGACGACATAGGGGGAATCCCCCGTATGAGGTTTAGGAAATGATGATTGATGCCGAAAGGAAGGTTGAAATAGTGGATGACCTTGAAGATGCAGGCAAGGAATGCCTTCCACGGAGTCCTTGCCACACCTGTCTTCCTCTCGCCTTTGTCCTACACTCGACTCAAAACCGACTCGAAAAAAATCAATCTAACTTTTTCCCGTCTTCCCGAACGGGAAGACGAACGGGAGAGAGCCGGTAGTGGCTGTATTTACGATCTCGTTGCGCGAAATCGACGCTACAGGAAGCTGCATGCATTTTCTTACGCGTACCTCGTGCCCCCGTGATTCCGTCCGAACGGCTTTCGTTTCTCTCGTCCACCGATCGTCGACGCAGACGACCGCCGCGGGGATGGGCTCTCGCAAAGCGAACGAACGAGAGAAGAAAGGCTCACGTGGCGACGAGGAGGTGAAACGGGTGACGGAAGATCATGCTTAGATCCGCGGGAGGATGAGATGCGGCACGAACGGCTCAGGCAGGACTGGAGGCACTAGGACTTCTCCCTCCGGGATTTCCCCATCCCATCGTACCGTCCAGCGTCCGCCTCCTGAGGGTTCTACTCTTCGTTTCCATTCGTGCAACTGTGCCAAAACCCTTCGTCATGGAAGATACTAGAAATCGCGTGAATCGCTGCTACGATTCGATGGTTTGGTACGATGAGAGAATCGCGCGTTCAGACACGAACGTCTGCAAATGGATGCACTCTATATTTGAAACCGCGGTGAAGGCACTTTTGCTTAGGCATTGGGACCGTGATCCGAGAGAAGCCCTTCTTGGGTTTTCTCTGCACCCCCCTGCGTCGGTGTATGCAATAGCGGAAAAGAAGCGGTGCGCGTCTCGATGCGATCGGCCTCTCTACGATGACTTTGGAACGACCTCTCATCCCGAGATGGTAATCGGGGTTCGCATTCGCGAAAGCGACCTCAGCGGAAAATAATCCACACGTATTGCTTTTCAGACAAGAACTATCGAGTCTGGGTCGTTCTTTTCCGACCGGAGAGCCTACACTCAAAAACTCAAAATCAAGGAAGTTTTACAGGAAAGCAAAAACTGCATGGAGTCGAATCGAATATCACCTGGGTGTATTCTAATTCTAATTGAAAGCAAAAAAAAACTTGCTCTGAAAGTGCTACAGAAGCGTTCGTGTTTCGTGACTCGAGCGAGCCTAACAACTCAAACGACCGACGCATTTTGGAATTTGACGTGCGATTGATCCAAACAGAAAATGTCCAGAAATGTGGAATTTGCTTGCGATGAAATCTCATTCGATGAAGCTTCCACGGCTAAACGTCTTACTCTCTTCGGAAGACGCAGCCTTGCAAATGAAGAGATTGGAGGTTGGAGGTGGCCGTGGCTAATATAACTGTGACTAACGTGGTAACCGAAAAAAAAAACAAACAAAAATAAATTCAAGGATATCTCTTGTCAGATACTTGAGCCTCTATTCCTGATCTCCTCGACGCCAATAAATATTTGCTGCACTTTTTCTATATAATCATTTCCAGGAAGTTGAAGCGGTGCACCGCTTAAATGAGCAAAAAACAAATCTTGCACAGAGGGATCCTCGTTTTTCAAAGTGACAATCGACCCAAAGAGAAAGGGGGTGTTTGAATCACCTTGTAAACTGCAGGGCACGAAGTCTTGGCTTTGAAAGTTTTTTGTCTTTGCAGCAATTTCGAACAGATCAGATATACCGTGACAGATGCAAACGAACCTCCTCCCTCTTGCTGACTGGGACCCATTTATGCCTGGTATCGGCACGACTTGGGACACGAGTTCGTGGAAGAGCACAATTGGAGGATCGGGGGGATACTTATTATACACCGCTGGGAAAAGAAATAGGAAGACCTAGAACGAGCGATGCTGCAGCCAGCAAACTTTGGGCATTTATTGAATACATCGTGATGTGCAAACGACGAATCGCTCTCCGATACCTGGCGTCCCGGTGGCGTCGTGCGATCGTGTGACCGCACCACAGTTAATACTCTGTATGGCCTGATGAAAACCGAGAAACGGATGCTCTCAGCGGCCTTGTACCCGTCTATACCACGAGGCGGTCACACGATAGTATCGCTCCACCGGAACGTCAGATATCGGAGAGTGATTACCTTGACTCATACCTCGATGTTTCAAATGGATGCCCAAAGTTTGGTGGCTGTAGCATCGCTCGTTCTCGATATTCCCATTTCTTTTGCCGGCAGTGCATGTCGGTCGAATCTCTGTCTCTTGGCTCTTGCTAAAGGCGATCCATGCCACCAGCAACAGTACCATCGGGGAAAATGACGCAATGCGTCCCCATCGCAATCCATGCCACAATCGATTAACCTTTCTCGACGTCTCTTGGTTTTCGTTCGAGGAATGAAGGAGTGATACCCTGGCAGTGTGTGCGCTGGACTGCGCGCAGAGTCGTGGTGTATGGGACAGCAGAATTCTATCAGATGTTTATCCCGATCGTGCGACTTTTAAGTTTTTTCCCGATCCGGCGAGGGTGTGACTACCCCTCCCTCGCTTAACTTACTCAAATGCCGTCTGGGTTCTTAAGATCGTATTCCATGCGGAGCACGGCGTTCCATGCATGCTTGCTTAGACAGTGAAGGATCTCGTTCTTAACCTATATCGTTTTTCTTTATATCCTCGCTTCGATTGAGGTGGATGACGATCAAATACCAATGCAATTAAGGACCATGTCGTGCTTTGGCTGCGATCACCTTCTTCGACAACTAATCCCCATTTCACTATTCTAACCTAGTGCTTCGATTCTCTCATTTTGTTTACTCCACATCACTTCATCGACAATTGTGAACCAAGATAACGATTAACTTATAAGCTCGATCCTTGCTCCTCTTCGAGCACGATCTCTCACTGATCGCCGCAGCAACGCCGTTTGGGCGAGGATTCACTTTTCATCATTACGATGTTGTCAAGACGCTGTGTTACAACAATTGTGTGCAACAATTTTGCACTAATGTTCATATGACACAGTTAAACATTGAAAATACGTTCACGAATCACATCGTGCCAGCATTGTGTGAACTTCTTGGCATCATCTCGTCATTTTCTCGATATAGAAGTTTCGTCGATATAAATATGATCTCGTATCGTTTGAATCTTCCGTTCTACCTCTCAACTTGTACTATAGCGAGTACAACAATCCTTCAATCGATTCCGTGTGAAGCTGTAAATGGATCGGTACTTCTCGAATCACGGTTGTGATTCCGCCCGGCAGAGTTGCATGTGTGACACCGAAAGCGATTTCTCCTATCTCCCCTCACTTCCTCGTCCCTCCCATCACTTCCTCCTCTACCGTAGAAGAGTCGGGCGAAGCCTCGAGGGGAGGATCCGATGCTCCAAGGAAGAAGAAAGAGCCCTTTTCAACAAGAATGCTATGGAGTGAAGTAGGAAGTATCTGATATATGGACGCTTTCTCGGCCCGCCGATGAAGTGCCTCCTAAAAACCGGGTCGTCTTGGGGTTACCTCTTCCAACGGATCCATCGGGAAATTCCAAAGTCATCCCCGAAGTTCACAAGGGAAAGGATACGGTTCCGTATCTGAAAGGATCTGTAAAGGATACGGTTCCGTATCTGAAAGGATCTGTAAAGGATACGGTTCCGTATCTGAAAGGATCTGTAAAGGATACGGTTCCGTATCTGAAAGGATCTGTAAAGGATCTGGTTCCGTACGAAAGATAGCGGGGACTCGTTCATATGGCACGAGGGTGAGAATCGTTAAAGCGCTAAATCTATTTTCTGTCGAGATCCTCGTGATTCCATACACGTGCAATGCTAATATCGGTCGTTTAGACAACGTGGGCGACTCCATGTTAAAGCAACATCGATCCTTTGGTGAAGACAAATGTACGAAACGAAATTCCACTTGGAATAGCCGCCAAACGGCTTCAGTATCCCATAAGTTGTCTCTCGGTGCTGAAAATACGATTGGTTACGAATGATTGACCCTTCGTTACTGTCGATCCTTCCTCGATATATCGACTTCATCTTTGTCTCGACGTTTCAACCTACTCTTAATGTCGACGCGACACTATTGTGCCGACTGGATTCCTTCCGATTGCATGCGTCACCGAAGGGATAATTTTTCGTGATTTCACACCATCGCACAGTGGGCCAGCGATGCGCAAAAATCAAATGTCCTGTGAAATGAAAGTCAGAGATAATGACCGTCATTGATGGAAAACGATTGAAGAGGCTGACTTATTCCGGTGATACTTATTTTCGTCACTAGATGGCGTTCTAGTAGAGAGAATGACTGCGTACTTTTTGATGGTCGATGTCACGTTTTAGTGAAGTCACTGAACGAGATGGCTGAAGTTGCTGGTAAGTTGAAATCGGTGTTATGAAATCTCGAAAAGTGGATGCTATCACGACGATCAACTTACTACCTTGCCACAGGTATCATACAATTGAGGAGTTCCCGAGAAAAAGGGCGCATGTGCAAAGTATGTAATTGGAGATAAACGGTAAAAACCTCTCTTAATTAATCTGAAGCTGGTCTAAACTTAATTAATCAGTAAAATGGTATCTTAGACCTCTTTCCAATCGAACTTGGGGTTTTAATGAATTTCTTTATCTCACATTGCTGGGATGCAGGCAGAAAGTGTTTATGCACATACGCCCCTTTTCCATATCCACGCTGCTGAAACTTTTGCTTTTTGCGAGTCTTTCACTACTTCTTCCCGGTAAAAAAATAAATAAATAAATAATTAATCAATAAATGCATCAACAGATTTCAAATAAACTCTTTCTTGAAGAATAGTAATGAAATAGTGAATATTCAGGATACGTTTCATTCACCACTTACTCAGCAGTGATCCATTATTAATGTATTCATCATCTGAATCTGCAACTATTTCGTGGATATCATCAACTTCTCACATCCTTCCAGAGGCTTCAATGACTCCGCCTCTTTCTTTCCCTTTCCTCGTGTCTGGTTTCTTCCTCATTTTCACTTTCAGTTTAAAAGGACAAAATAGTTCCTCCAAAATCGTTTGGCATGCAAGTGCTAATGGAATATTCATGGAGGCAGCCATATTGAAATCGTCGGGCAGTTGGCCTGCTATATAGTGAGAGCATAGGAAAATCTGCTTCTCCTTTGTTGAATACGCATCTCAACTACTTGCTGACTACCCTATCCTAAGACTAGTCACCTAAAGCAGCACATGGACACGGATATGGAAAAAGGGCGTATGGGCGCATATGCCCCTTTTCCAGAGAACTCCTCAAATTATTATGATCCTTCCATTACTTGTAGGATAAATAACTTAGTCCTTAGCTTGAGTAAAACCTCTTATTTTTCTGCCGGAAAATTAATAAGTTTAAATTGCAAAGTCATTCCGCAGAATTCGGTTTTCAAACTAGGGCAGGGCTTACTTACCGTCGCTAGCGAGCTCGTAGAGTTTCTTGCAGATTGTTGCTGATACTTCTGATATAAGCGAAACTGATATGTCTACTTATGTGAGATTTTTAGATTCTCGCTCCCTCCCAAGGACCACCGCTACGGCGAGGAGATATCTAGAACCGGATGAGGGAAACAGGAGGAATCTTCATTGTCAAAGCAGTCGAAACCAGCATGACTTTGAGTAGTTTAAGCCTTTAAAATTTGCTTGGAACAGCTCGAAAATTGTTTGAATCTAGCTAAACATGTTCTGAAAGCAATATTCAATTTTTTCCTTTTACTATAAGATAATATCGCTGATGTTTGATTTTTGCGCATGTTTTCGCCATTTTGGCGCACTGTGCATTGGCGTGAAAAAAAATAGTTTAACTATAAAGTTACCTTGCCCGATTGACCTAAAACCAATTTCGATATATATATTGACGGTTCTGCATTTTGGATAAGTATAGACTTTTCTCAATTTTTCCTCTCAAATAAAATTTTTCCCATCAGAAGTTTAATTTTTATGCCTCATCTCAGTTTAAAATCTCGGCGGGTAACAGCTGGAAAGTAAAAGTCAGATTCAGATTGATTCCAATATGCAATATCACTAGTGGAATGATAATTTTTTGCTGGCTATTCTTGCCCGAGGTCCATCTGCAGGAGTAACTGAGTTTCAACTGTAAACTAAGCTGAATTTCAGGCGTAAATTTAGCTGCATTCCAGGTGGAGGGACCTCTGTATAAATTCAAGTGAAAATTTCCAGTTGGAAATATCTATTAAAACCAGCTGCATTCCAGTTGGAAAACTCCAGCTGTAAAACAACCTGTACTTACTATTTTTAGCTCTTTGTAAGCTGGAAATGGTCCGAATTACCAGCTTTGGAGCAGCTGGAAAATTCTAATTGGAATTTTAAACTGGAGTGAAGTCTGGAATTCCACATCCCACCTTTGAAGTTTGAAAATGGCAAACTCTAGGTCGATGTGCATTCCATATGCTTTGTTTCCCAGTGAATGGGATGAATGATGAGGGTGAGTTTTCGTAGTTGAGGGTTTTTACGCCCCTCCCAGCCGCGCCCCCACCAGAAGGGTTTGGTGGGGAGGAATTGGGAGATTCTTCTGTCAGAAGGGCTATGAACAGCGAATCTCAAATCATTTACGCATCTTTTTTTTTTAATTATATGGTCATGGACTGATATCGACAACGCGATTCTTTGGGCACAAATAAAATAATTTGTCAAAGAATTTGCTGGTTTTTCGTGTTTACACAAAACCTCGATCTTCCTTTAATATTTTTCCTGCCGCATGGGAAAGAATCTTGAAATTTAGAGCTAAAAATAAATCTAGGAAAATCTCTGTGGAATGCCACTAAAAATAAATCACGAAAACGTGGAACCCTGCATGTAAATCGAGTTTGGATGTTCTTGGTTGTATCTACGGCATCTCATCGATATCGACCTCGCTGTTGGGGAAGCTCAATGCTCCTTAGGAAAGCTACTTCTGACTTCTTGTAGGCTGTAGACTAGGTAAAAGTTTCATGCAGGAATGTGGAAAGGACGAAAGGCGAAAGATGGATCGGTCACCGGTCACTCTCGCTTCTCGCTTTCACATTCCGGATTCATGCACTCTAAAGTCAATCTGTCATCTGCATCTGCCTTATCTTACCCTTACTTGTTCATCTTTCTAAAATTCTACACGGAAAGTTTAGAGGAATTGGGGAAAAAAGGGAAATTAGGGCGTCATCAGGGTTCACTGAATGAATAACTGAGATGGTGTTTGAGGCGCAGAAAGTGTCGGCAGATGGCAGGGGAAGCGCATAACACAGTCGACCTTCACGTGTGGAGCAGTGCCAATCGAGCGGTGGGACTTCTGAAGGTCCGCTGCGGTATCGTCTGTGTCTTCTATCTTTGGGTTCCCTAAGACCTCTGCTAGGCCTACAGGCGAAATCTAATTTCCGAAGATGTGGAGAAATCTAAGAAACATCTCCGGAATCAAGGTTTGCCCTTCTTAAATAGACCTTGGCCTAGCGAGCGAAATGAATTTACCTCGAACTTGCAGAAAGCCGAAGACTTTTCTAGGCTGCCGCATGTGTGAGTCTAAGCGTACCAAAAATTTCGCTTTCTGGTTTGAATTGAGGTTCAACATATTGCAGGCTTGTGAGTAGCCTGTCATGATCAACCTGGGCGGGCATGCTCAAGTTTTATTGAACCACATTAGTTTCATTTTAGACTAAAGTCAATGGCGGAAAGTAGGACTTTTTTACCTTTATTTTTCATATATGCCTAGCCTGTCTCATGCCAACCAATACTTTGCTAGATTTTATTATTACTTCACTTTCAGTTAACATTTGATTTGAGCTAGGCCTGTCAGGGGCTCATGTAGGACTAATCTTTTTTTATGCCTCAGGGAGGTCCATCTGGTTCAGTTCGGAGTGTGGTAACCAAACATCCCCTGGATCCTCATTGGGCAGCTTTGGCACAGAAACAGCTGAAAGGAGCTGACCCAGCCAAGAAACTCATATGGAAGACACAAGAAGGAATCAACGTTAAGCCACTTTATACCCAGGGGGACATTGCAGGGTAAGTTGCATTGAATGTTTGCCTATTTAACCCCTACTGGTGATATTAAGCATAGCCTGTGTCTGAGCATGCTTTATTTGCATATACATGAGTATTTCTCTGTTTCAGCCTTGAAGATGAACTTCCAGGGCAGTATCCATTCACCAGGGGTCCCTACCCAACAATGTATGCTCAGAGACCATGGACAATTCGTCAATATGCTGGGTTCAGCACAGTAGAAGAGAGTAATAAGTTCTACAGGGACAACTTGAAAGCTGGTCAACAAGGCTTAAGCGTAGCCTTTGACCTTGCCACACATAGAGGGTGAGCAAATTATCAGCAGTACACAACCACATGATGGATGACTTTGATTATTCTTTTAATTCTTGGAAAGAACTTCTAAAATTCAGTATTAGAAATGGGAGGTAGAGAGTTAAGGATAACAGGAGTTAGATTGTTAGGTTGTGTAATATGCACTACATTGTGGGATTTTGTTGCCTCCTTTTCTTACAGATATGATTCAGATGATCCTAGAGTGCATGGAGATGTTGGTGAGTGACATTCATCCCTTGCCCTACTCTCTCTGGAATGCTGAGATTGGATTCATTGCTGTGTGTAATTGGTGTCCCATCCATGCAGTACTTGAAGGCTGCTGGTTGATGTTCTATTGGGAATGATGATTGAGTTTAATTTCATTCATAATAATGATGAAATGGAATTATTAGTCAACAAAGGCATTCTCAGTTTCTGTGGCTGTGATAACCTGGCTAGTGTTTCATAATAGTGATTGCCTTTGACTTTACCTTATGACTTGGAAGAAACAAAATATGGTCTTTGTGTCATAAAGAGGGTCACTAAGTAGTATTTTAATTGTCATTATGAGATTGAAGTGATCAAATTTGAATTCCTTTGAAATTTTTAAAGGAAAAGACACATGGATTCTATGCAGAGAAGCTTATTTGTGATTTGCAGCCTAGTTTTAGAAGAGACTGAGATATTTTGTTCATAAAGGCAAATTAAGTTGAGGCTCCAAATGGGTACTGGTATTCTATCCTGTACCAGGCATTGCCAGCTCCTTTTCCCTTCCATCTTGTACTCCATCCCATTCTGATTAGACACATTCCATTTCCTTTCCCCTATGCCTTGGGGACTGCTGTATGTTGTTCTTTGACTTGGCATATTCTCTGACATGACATGGTGGCCCAACAGTCAGGGACCTTAGAGATTTCACATTCCTACTGTAAATATGTGAACATTTCATAACACATTGACAGTGATCTTGGCACACTCATCTTAATCTCTCTTTCAGTTCCTCTATTTCTCTGGGATGTTTGGCATAGACAAATAACTTAACCATTTCCTGTCCATTTTATCTGTAACGCTATGGAGATTGTCAGACTAGGTCTGGACTAGGACCGCAAAGGGTTAAGATGCCCCCACAGAAAGAAGTCAAGAGTTGTGAGGTTCGGTGACTTGAGTGGTCATTCGAAGGGATCTCGTTGTCCAATCCACTTGTTTGAGAATGACTCATTTACAATTAATTCAGTACAACTGCGAAATCCCTATGGTTCCTGACTTTTAGGTCACCCTCTATATGATTAAGTATGCTTTGAGAAAGAGTGTGATAAAGGTGGGATTTGAACCTAAAGCTTTATGAATATTAACCCATGGCAGTGTTGATTCTGGCTGCCATTCCACATTAGAAGGGAATCACAATGGAATATTTTTTATATACTCACAATATATATGATCTTAGCCTGCCCCATTCCATTAATGAGGAAATTCTGGTCCCTTTCATGTGAGCTTCATTAAGTTTCTATTAAAATTTATACTGAAACTGACATCTCATATCCTTTCACAAGCTGGTTATTGGAGGGGAAGAGGCATACTCAATGCTTTTCCCTCCCTGAGAAACTTAAAAAGTATCAGTACATGATGTAACTTAAATTTGAATGAGGATGGCTGTACATTGTTCTTATTATGGAATAACCCCAGTCAACTATGGTTGGACCAAGCAAGTAAGTGATGCTCTTGACATAATCAGGGGTGGAGAAAGTCTATGTTCCATGTTCTAGGAGAAGATAGCATCTGATTGAGAAGGCAGGATTGGAAGAAAAAAGAAGATGCATGTCAGAAGGATTGGAGGGAATAGAGGAAAAGGAAATAAGAGGAAATGGAAGGACCAAATAATATGAGAGAAGGCTGATAGGAATGGGATTTGGACTGCAGGGTGGTTAGGAATTCAGGGGTAGGGAGACACCATTTCTGACATAGGGAAGTTGTTCCCAAGGTGTAGCAGGAATGTCAAGGAATAGGACTAGGTTCCTCTATATAATTAAAGTAGAATAATGCCAAAAAAAACCCTCTAAAATGGCCTTACTTTACCACTCAAATTTTGCAAAAATGCCAGGTATTTATTGGAGTCCTTGCTCTCTAATGGGGATATGCCTGTGGGGTCACAGGCCTATGTACCCCCTTAAAACTAGTATACTTGGTAGATGTGCAACAGCCTATCATTTGAGCAGGAGGTTACTGAGAGGCTGAAGTACTTCCTCCACCTCTGGTTAAAATTGACACTTATTCCAACTGTATATCTTCCCATATTCCTACTATGTGTTGATGAACATGGTACACATATATTCATAGGGATGGCTGGAGTTGCAGTGGATACTGTTGAGGACATGAAAGCTCTTTTTGATGGAATTCCATTGGAGAAGATTTCTGTGTCAATGACAATGAATGGGGCCGTCGTCCCCATCCTGGCCATGTTCATTGTAGCTGGTCAGGAGCAGGTGCTGTATTGTAGTCTATAACCTTCAACCATCTTAAATAAATTTAACTGAAGTTCTCCTGTCAGTCTTCAACATCATGGAACATGCTTTCATCTCTGGTACAGGGTGTAGAGTTGAAACAACTGTCTGGAACCATCCAGAATGATATATTGAAGGAATTCATGGTCCGCAACACATACATCTATCCTCCTGAACCTTCACTGCATATCATTGGTGACATATTCCAATATGTCTCTAAGGTAAGTCCTACATACCACTGGAATCTTCTATCTTCCAGTGTAGTTCTCTCTGTGTAATCAACCATGGAGAGCCTCTCATGTGGTATGCAATGTTAATTTCATTCTGCATGTCATGTAACACTTTTGACAGTCAAGAATTTTGTGCATTTAATCCTTAAATTGATGGTCAAGCATTTCCATGTAAAATGATGGTATGTAGCTTCAACTTTTTAGAATAATAATGAAGCTGGAAAGCTCAACAATATATCAGTCAAACTTTCAGAAAACTGTATGAGTCATGCAATAGGTATATGTATAAAAAACGACATATTTTACAGTCTTGGCATAGGCACCACACTGGTGACTGTGAAAGATTTAAGCAGAAGCCCAATAGAAAAAGAGGGTAACCATATATACAATCTTATAGCAGTGTTGGGAAAGCAATGCATTACTATAAGCAGATTACTTTCAACAGTAATGGTTCACATTAACAGATTGTTTTATTCACCTGGAGTAATCAGAACACTTATTTTACTTGAAAAAGTAATGAGATAGCTTACTGTTTCATTCTTAAGCAAAGCCCTGAATGACTGTTTACCCCCTATCCTAGTGACAAGTTTCCTTCAACTTCCCTCACCCATGTACCAATAACCTTGTTTGGTTTTGCCACCTCCCCCCCCTTGTTATCTCTACCACTATTACCCCCTCCATTGCAACAAATCCTTATCTATCTTAACTAAAAAGTATTCCAGGAATAATCTAATTACAGATTACATTTTGTAGGGAGTAATTTGCATGCAATAATAGATTACAGTCAACCCTCAATGTAACATCCCCTTGGTCATAGCTGATCTTAGCACCATGATGGTACTGTTATAGTGAGCAAGTTGCTATGATACTGAAATGCCATCCTTCACCCTTTTTTGCGGCACCATCCAATCCACAGGTATTAGTAGGGCTGTGCCAATTACCACGATATCATGATAAAAAATTTTGTGAAAAAAATTATCCTCTGCTGTCGCAGGAGAAGGAAAATAAAGCACAGGAGACTGTGCCATTCATTTCTATTTTAAAACAATACAGGCTTAGGACAATAACTGGACTGGCTGTAAATCTTGACAAATACTGATAAGATGAGGGAGGGAGGTAGGGGATAATCCCCTGGTTACAAGCCTCCTTTCATGCTTACCTTTCCTGGGAAATTTTCTTGAGGCATTAGGTGAAAGTAATCCCTTGGCTTCAGTTAGCCCCTGAGCACCATCAAAGCAAGGTAGATTTTTGTGGGTGCTGTGTGAAACTTTGGAGTGCATTGCAGATGGAGAGGACCAGTAAGTCTGACTGGAAGCTCATACCTCACCCTCATGGAAAGCCTGTGGTGTGGAATGCATTTAGATTTTACTCTCACAATGCACCTAGAATATGGAAAAAAAATTGTATTCCTTCATTGGAAGGAAGAAATTCCACATTCTGAGAATATGACCAATCTCTTGCATTATGCACGCAAGCATCAATTTGGGAATAACACCATTCAATCTTTCTTTGCTAACAAATAGCAAACAAATGTCATGCATGCCTTGCAACAGAAAACGTTGCTATGTTATCCTTTGTTTGCTTTGAACCATAATATACTATGATGATGTAACGTATATCAGGATTCATATTAACTTGCTATAGCAAGTCCCTGACTCGTATTTTCTTGGAGGGACTCGTATTTGCAAAACATCAAAGTCTGTGGGACTCATTGACAACCACCTAAACATGTTCCCACTGGGCTGAAGCTAGGTGCCAGGACTCAAGATTTAAAAAAGCTAGTGTGAACCCTGTATATAATATGTCTTCATTCCACCATGTTAGAATCCATTACCAAAATCGGTTTTTGTCCTGAAATGAATGTGCTTCATACTCTTGCCCCTGGTTGAACTCCAGCAATATTGCACAATATATGGGGTCAACGATATTGATACATTAAAAAATCCATATCGCCAAGCCCTAGGTATTAGTCATCTCATGGTCACACTATCACATGATCAGGTGGACAGTTTGTAAAAAATACAGAATTAAGTGCAGCACTGTACAGTGGTAGTGGTAGCAATGCTACTTTATACAAAATTGAGGACTTTCATGAGAAAAAAAAAGGTCAAATTAATGGTAGTGACAGATGGCCGCTTCTGAAGCTGGCACTATAGCCTATTGTAAGCTTATAGAGAAGATTTGTTCACAGGAAATGGCTGGCAATGAACAAGGGAGGCAGTATTAGAAGTGGTGATATACTATGGGTTGACTGTACATTTGCTCTAAGGAATCAGCAATATGTTGCAAATTACTTCATAGATGTAACTATCCTAACACTGCTCATGAGTTACTTAATTTGTGGTGAGGTAAAATGTGAGTGATGACAGCAAAGAGAAAGGAGGACTTTCAAAGTCTCAGCCTTACCCCCTTGACTGGTCCTGTCCATTCACAAGTAGAGGTGAATGCACATATATAAAACTTGTGGTCAGAATGTTGTTTATTGACAGTACTTTAGCCCTAATTCACTTGTATCCAAATGTGTTGGCCAGCAAAATTTCATCCAATATTGAAGTAGCATTTTTTACTTCATGAATCCATGAACAAAGAATTTAGTAATAGAAAGAAACATAGTGAGAATAGAACTATTGTATGAATGGTCTCTTGGTCTTCTCATGCTTTGTATAAGTGAAAGGAAGTATGTTTTCCACAAATTTGGGTGGATGCATAGTTGTTTATCCTTAAAAGTCCCAGGGTCTATAGAGGGGTGAGCAATGAAATTGCATAGAGGGAACTTAAGCATTGTAACAGGAAGATATAGAGCTTCATTAAAGCAATATCGAACAGCAAAGCCTGTAGTTTCCTGTGATTGGCCCTATTGCCCAATAAATATTTTCCTATAATTAAGCAGATAGTACAAATGAGAAATAGGACTGTCAAAAGGAGAGAGCCTGGAATGGTTGATACCCACTAGATCTGTAACTAGACCACTAATTTTATTGGGTGAGGCTCATCTTTAACAGAAGAACCTATTGCTACATCTATTTGAGGAAGAGAATCAATGGCTCTCCATTTACCTCAATGCTTTAGTATTCTACAATCAATAGATTTTCAAATAATGTTGGCTGCAAAAATGTTCTTAAAACTGTAGAAAATTGTTTAATGAAATTTGGCATGTATCTTTGCCACCTACCTCCAGAACTCAATACATGGGAAAAGAAGAATTACATTTTGTTGTCTGTTCATCAATAAATGCACAGTTGATGTTGACATGATATATTGTTGGCAGAAAGGTGGCTTGCATGGTTGCTGCATGTTTGAAGGGAGTAGTAATTTTATAATGCTTCCAACCTATAAGGTTGGAGGTAGGTAAGCATCTAATTTTATTGAGATTTCCCTGCAAAGAATCCCAATGTGAGAAGAAGCATGAGCTCATTTGATACCCTATCTCTACGTTGCCTCTTTGAAGCATGTAATGTTCCCAGTATCATGTAAACACTATTATTCTGTGAAGGTTAGTATTGTTGATTGGTTCCTTTCTGAGGTCGTATTTTTTTGCATATTTTTAAAATTTGCCTTCAGCCCCAGTTGGTATGTGTTGATGGGAAAAGCAAAGGAAATGGTAGTACTCTCTTCCCTTCCTTGCCCCATCGCATCAGAGAGTAACAAAGATAGGATCATCATTCCTGCATCACTGCTTCCACTTCTCCCATAAACATGTACTGATGGGAGGCAATGAGTGAATCTGCAAACTAGATTGACTCTTACCCAGATATCACTGAAATTTTGTATGTTATTATGAACTAAGAGGGCTCTGTTTGATGAAAAATTTTCATCCTTTACCCTAGTTGTATAAAGAATAAAATAGCAGGCAATAAGTGGCATGTTAATTGCAGCTGGGAAGTAGAATGTTCCATTTATTATTCTACATTAACTTTTACAGAAAATGCCAAAATTCAACTCCATCAGCATCAGTGGGTATCACATGCAAGAAGCTGGGGCCAATGCTGTGCTGGAAGCAGCCTTCACTCTTGCAGATGGCTTGGAATATTGCAAAATTGGGCGAAAAGCTGGAATGGATATAGATGAGTTTGCCCCAAGACTTTCCTTCTTTTGGGGTGTTGGAATGAATTTCTACATGGTGAGTTGGTGTTAAGACTTATTTTCTCCAATATATGAAAACCCTACAATTGCTGTTCTGAAAAGAAAATATTGGCTTTGATTTTAATGCAATGCCTATGGTTTTTTATATTTTTAACAGCTAGTGTCCTGTTACGTTTTGCCTAATATGGAAGATTAATTGGTGCAATTAAAGTGTTTTGCAGGTCCATTTTTTGCACTCATAAGAGTGAGAATTTTAGTTTTTTTTCAGTCATGGAGAGTTCATGTATAAGATGCTGGAAAAATTGATAGAAATTCCAGTTATTATTAATTGGAAATTTAAAGAATCCCTAAGTATGCTTCTTCTTAAAATAAGGGCAATATAAGACTGCTTCTCAATTCACTGACTCATGAATACTTACCCTCACATTAACTTTTTTTTTTAGGTGTTTTTCATGGCAGCATATGCTTCTCTTTGATGTTAGGGATACACCATTGATATTATTATCGTTGAATATTATTACATACTTTCTTGCCTATTAAAGTTCCATCCAGTCTTCAGTCTTGCAGGACAGTAAAAAACAATGTTTTCAATTTAGTGACAATATTTTTCCTACATCATTCCTACAAATTTCATTGTTGTGTTGATGTTGAAAATAACTTAATAGTCTAATGACATGCAAGGTTTCATTCTTATATCTTGACAATTGAAGGAGATATGAAGTTTCAGATGTGTCTAGTGACATCTGAAAAGAGTCAACATGCAATATAGAGGGAATCAACATTTCCTAGGAGGGTCAGAAACTCCTGATGTCCATGCTATGGAAAGTGGTGGGATTGAGTTATTATGGATTCAAGCTCTCAATCTCTATGCTCAGCACATTTCTGTATAACTTCCTTCAATAATAAACCATTCTATAAAAAACAAAATAATCTGCAGTTGAGTAGCATTGGTAGGATGTACTTTTCCATATTTTCATGATTGCTGTAAAGACTCCTGTTGGAGTCTGTGTGGATTGCATGTTTAATGGAAAAAGGTTGAGAGAGGTCTTTGATGATATAGAGTTTTTATGATTCCAGTAGGGAACTTGGAGCAATGAACAGGAAAAGAAGGGCAAGGGTGACATAGGCAGTGATGGACCAAAAGGCTAGGGTACCATGCCTAGTGATAGGCCACTGGACAGTAAAATTCCAACTAAGCATGCATATCATGCACTCCTTTGCAGTGACTGAAGCTACCCTCTTGCCTGCATATATGTCTACTGTGGCCCATCACTGGGTATTTTAATTTTACCTCTTATCCCCTGATGAAGTTTTGGGGTATGTTCTTTTTTTTTAAATTTAGAATGGGATGTTTACTGAAGGTGATTTTACCACTGTCAAACTGCAAGGCAAAAAGAGAGTATGTAGTATATTTTATATATATATATATATAAAATTACTGCTTTCCATGGTCTGTAGCATGCATGCAAGCAGCACAAAATTAGGCTTTCCTTTCTTTAACCCCTTGAACACACCAGGCATTGGACAATTTCCTGCTGTCATACACCAGAATTTTGTACTAAATAAAATAATATTTTGTTTATGCTAAAGTTCTTTATTTAATGCTATTACCTCTGACTTTACCGGCTCTTTTCCCACCAGTGAGCACTTGCTATGAGCAACCAGTGAGCATCAGTTGCATGGCTCCTCCATGAGGCATACAGGTGTGTTGTGTGTTCAAGGGGTAAAACATGAAGAAAAAGGGTGAAATGTGATGACATTAGACTTTGGCTACTCTGCAAGGACCAATTGTGCACATGTTGTGACCTTAGATAATGTTGTGTGAACTGATTGATTACAATTCCTATGGGAGAACATTCACATTTGCACTGTATGCACACATGCCACAGACCACAGACCATGTGTAAGAGAGAAGAGTTGCTTGATTTTCATGGTCATCAATAGCCAGCAGACTGACAACCCAAGAGGTGAAGGCATACACAGACAACATAGTGTTTAATGAGGTGCTAAGACAGTAACCATGATTTTAATTTCTCACTAAGTTGTTTGTGACATATATGGTTTTAGTTTGTTCATTTGTTCATTTCTATGCATTAATGGACAGTTCCGAAGCTACTGACATAACACCAGGCGCAAAATGAAATCATGTATGATGTTATATCTTAAAGATGGTTTGGTCCAGAAATTCTACTTCAACAGTACCTTGTAGAGCATAGATACCTATATCTATTCTGGTCAAAATTGTCTCATTTCTCCCAAGAATGAAAAAGGCAGTTCATGAGGTGCTACTGACGTAACACAGTTTAGACGACAGTTTTTGCTTTGCTGCTTCCCGTCCAATTTTATCTGTTTTTGCTTGACCTGAATCTTCCATATTTTCAGAAAAGAAGGCATGGACCATCGCTTTTCGTCATGCCAAATGACATTTTTTGTTGCTCAAAAAAGGAATTAGCTTGGACAGTTTTCCAGCATTACTGACATAACATATCAAAAAGCGAGATTCACCAAGCAAGTGTTACATTCATTCAAATGGAATGGTGAAGGAGTAATAAAGAACCATCCCACTTCAGGTAATGAATGCTTAATGGAGTCATTTGGTCTAAGTTTAGTACCCATACAGTGCAGGAAAGTAAGTTGGATGACAGCTTTGGAAATGATTTTTTATCACTTTTGTCCCAATTATGCTGGAACTGCCCTAATAACAATAATCATTGACTGAAATTCATCCATGTATTTGTACAAGCTACTGGCTAGTAAGACTTGGAGAAAGAAAGAGCACACATGCTCTTTTTCCTCACAGTTACTATCATTTGACTCATTAGGATATTCAACATTTTGAATGGAAAATGTATATTCTCCAAACGAAAGGGAAATGGCATTTGGTGCAGCATATACTGCTGGGAATTTGAGAACTGGAACACCAGAAATACCATGTTGTACTGCATCAAGAGAGTATGTCATACAATCCTCCTTTTCTTCTATATTGGATTATTTAGTGTAGCAAAAAGGAGATGCACTACTTTGAAGTAATATATGTCAACAGTTACTTTTTGTAAAACATGCACTGTGTGCTGCCTGACGTGTCCTCCACAGACTTTCAAGTTTTAAAAAAATCCATTCGTCCAATGAAAGACTATGAGGAATTATTCTAAAGAAGTAGTAAATTGAAAATGGAGGATTTCAGTAACTAGTTTCCATCTGCCTTCCTCCTCCAGCATAAGAATGGGGAAACTTTGTATAAACTAAGAGAGAGCAGCTTTCTGTAGTGGTACCCATTAATTCATGAGTTATACAGTAATTTGGGAAAAGGCATATTAAAACTATCTGCAACAAAAGACTGGCCCAAAGAATGAAAATTTTAATGTTTGATTTTTCAGTGTAGCCTTCATGATAAGTTGACTACAGAGCAAAGATATTTCCTCTACTCAACTACCAGCATGAACTCCAGTTTGTTTTCAATATCCGATATCTTTTGATGAAATACTCACAGGCTTGCTTTGGCTCAATGAATTTGAGTAGAATTTCACAAGTTTCTTCAGGGCATAGCAGATACTTGTGAAAGTTGTGTGAAAGTAGCTGTAGTAGGAGTAAAAATGGCAAATGTTTAAAGTTGGGATTTTATTTCTTTCCATAACTTCTATATTGAATATTGATTCATTATTGATTTTTGCCTAGCTAGCATCAATTGGATTATGTTTCTTTTGGCAGGAGATAGCCAAGATGAGAGGGGCTCGTCGTCTCTGGGCTGAAAATCTCAAGAAACTTTTTAATCCAAAGGATCAAAAATCCATGATGCTTCGCACTCACAGTCAAACCTCTGGCTGGTCCCTCACTGAACAGGTGAAAATCTTCCTTTTCAATCAAACTTAGGGCCTGATGCCTTGGGCTCATGCTGCCCTAAGAATTATGAGGCTTGCAATTTAAATGTCATCTTTGTGGAAGAAGCAATCATATGGCATAGTCTAAATCAGGGGTGTCAAACTCAAATAGGTTGGCAGGCTGCATTCCTAACATTGCAGGTATCTGCAGGCTGCACCCATAATTTTTCGTCAAAATTTGTGCCAACAGTCAATCCAAGTGGAAATTTCTAGAACAGATGGCAGGCCAGATGAACCATGTCTGTGGGCTGTATGTTTGTCACCCCTGGTCTAAATGCTACTCACTGTTTGGACTAGTGCTGTAAGTATTCATATGTTTTGGAAATACAGGGTTTCTGTATTGTTACAGTGCTATCATTGTGTAATTCTGCCTTTTTGGGGGCTGATCAAAATGATTGAGACCTGAAGTCATTGAAATGAGTGTTTTTGGTTGGAGTGAGATAGTATACAGAATAATTTATATTTTTGTTTCTGTTGTCAATAAGTTCTTCTTTTGTTAACAATTTTGAATTCTGTTTTCCCCTTCTTTTTTTGCTCTTGACTTTTTATTTATTTATGCAAAAGGGGAATGGTTAGTATTGGTAGTATTGGATGTCTGTCATCAAGCAACATATAGTGATTATGGCAGAAGAGGAAAAAGATTATGCTGATGGTTTTTGCACTGATATATATTTTATTTTTGAGGGGTCCTACAAGTGGCCAGTATGCACACCTGCATGTGTCATGAAGGGAAACATTCTGTTTGTTTTGTAGATGTGCATATCACTGATTTTAATAGATGGTTTGGGACTAGGGTTGAGGCCCTACCTATGGCCACTTAAAGGGAATTCTCCATTTGATAATTCAATTTTATCTCAATCCTTAGTATCTTATGCGTAATTTCAGCTTTTAAAGGGATTTAAATTATTGAATAGCATCAACTGGCCAAAGTTAAAAGGAAATATTTTGTTTTACTAAATGCTTTTTTTGCATTAACTTAGGTAAAATCACCTCCTATAGCCATCTTAAAATAAATGAGGAATAAGCTATACATCACATGTATTTCTCATACTTAACTAAGTGGCCATAGAAGGGGGGGTGGCCATAACTGGGTGCTTGGCCCTATATTGAATTGCACAATTTATATTCTGGTGAGACAGATTAATATCTCTCTATTTTTTACTTTATGGACACCATACTTACGCAATCTAAAAAGGTATTATTTTTCAGGATCCATACAATAACATTGTGAGGACAACAATTGAGGCAATGGCTGCTGTTTTTGGAGGGACACAGTCCCTACACACAAATGCATTTGATGAGGCACTTGCACTCCCATCCAAGTTTTCAGCTCGCATTGCTCGCAACACTCAAATCATCTTGCAAGAAGAGTCAGGAATCCCCAAGGTTTCATTTTTACTCACCCCATTCTATAGTTTTTTTGATCCAGTTATCAAACTCCTCTGCTTCTACTCCATACAGATCATCGACCCATGGGCAGGTTCATATGCAATGGAATCCCTTACAAATGAAATTTATCATGAGGCAAAGAAAGTGATGGATGAGGTAGAAGGAATGGGAGGGATGGCAAAGGCTGTTGCTACTGGTTGGCCCAAGCTCAAGATTGAGGAATGTGCTGCCCGCCGCCAGGCCCTCATTGACAGTGGAAAAGGTCTTTCACTCTTTCCTCCCCTTCCATTTCTTCATCTTGAGGGAAAATGGGTTGTTGTGTTAATAGGCTCATATTATCTTTTGGTACTGGGTAGAGGTCATTGTGGGTGTGAACAAGCATCGATTGGAAAAGGAAGAAACTATCGATGTCCTTGTTATTGACAACTCCATGGTCCGCCACTCTCAAATTGAGAAACTTCAAAAGGTATGATTGATGTTTTGAAGTGCTGGTATTGAAATCCCTTCCTCCTTCCTTTCACTTAGATTGGAGTTTAGAATAGATTGGCAGTGTTGGAAAAAGTTGCAAAGTTTCATTAACATTGAGAGCCTTGCAGTTGTCTGCATCTTGCTCTATTACAATAGTAAGAGGCAGAAGATGAAACAAAATAAAGCTGCTTGCGATGTTGTTCCATCTGTAAGCCATGACTCTAGCAAGGGAATGTGTTCATCTTTTCCCTTCCCACTCAAACCTTCTTCATCCTTCGTATTCATCCTAAAATGCCAGATTCAGAAGTCCCATAGAGCACAAGGACCATCTCTGCCTCTCCTACTCCCTAGTTCTCATGGTATTTGATTGCATTCATAAGGGTGGTCTTACACAAGTGAGAATAATTGCCTGAAAAGTACTCACCAGAGAGTGCCAGTCGATTTTTTTGTTCCCTCACAATAAAACAGAGAGGTGCTCTATCTTCTGGAAGTATTCTTGTGGACATAGGCTACCCATTGAAGAATCTTTCAAGTAACTTCCATGTTGGGATTCCCACATGTTTAAATTCGCACTTGCAAAAGAAAGTATTGGCTGAGCCTTTGAGGTTTAGATTGTCTATGTTTTTCATGTGCAACAGGCTCAAGACTCAGATCATTCTTTATTTGCTTGTATATCTCCAAGCATTTTAACTATATGCTAAGAAAACAATTATGTTATCAAAGCATTCCACTCATCCAGGATGATGTCTCATGGAAGTAAAAAGACCTTTTAGAATTGTGTAGATTAACCCTTTTTTCATACTGTGACTTATTTTATGTAACTGGCTACTATTTTCAGCAAGTATAATGGGTCATCATTGTAATGAGTTAATTTTTGGATTTTAAAGTTTAATCTCCTTGAGGTTGCTCTATGAGATTCATTTACTTTTACATGATGAAGAAAAAATGTAGCAATTCTTCATTTGGTTTCAGAGTAGTCTGTAGAGATCAAGGCAATGGTGTTGAGGACTGCCTTTTCCTCAAACCAGCTGTATACCATACCCCAAGCTGGTAATAAGAACTTCCATAGTTGGCATGAACCATCTAAAAGTTATCAGTGGTATGCAAGAAAGCTGAGGTATTGCTCTTATTATTCCTAAAAAAAAAAATTTTGTTCCATTTTTGGCAACTGCAGAAACATAGCAAAAAAGTAATTTGTTATGGTGAAGAGGAACTGTTTCTTGAAAGTAAATTTTACCCATGACTAATTACGTTTTTGAATGAATGTGTATGTTATTACCATTTTTAAAATACCTTATCCATCCCTGCATCTGAACCTATAACTCCATGATCAGCCCCATGATACCGCAGATAGATTGTATCTATGCTTTATCATCTTCAAACTTTCAAGGTATTTTTCTGTTTTTATATTGTATCTTTTGAAACATATTTTTCCTTTGGGATCTTCATGCACTGCACTGATTTATGGTTTCTAAGGTGATCCAGACAAATTTGAACCTGTTGTTTCATGAATTTTGAGCTTATTTATATTACCAGAGCACAAGATAGATCAATATGTATAATTAATACAAGTGTATTTTGGATTATGTTAAGCCCATAGTTGTGCCATTGAATTTAAAATTATCTTGCACTCTCAGCAGTACCAAATATATGATTTTTCATCCCTTTAACATGATTAGGTGAAGAAAACACGAGATGCCGACGCTGCCAAGAGGGCCCTGGATGCACTTCATTCCTGTGCAAAAACTGGGAAGGGAAATCTACTTGAACTGGCTGTGGAATGTGCTCGTACTCGCTGCACAGTTGGAGAGATCTCCAAAGCCATGGAGAGTGTTAGTATTATGACATTATTCTTTGTCTTTCTGATCTCTTTCTTTTCGTTTTCAAGTCCTCACATGTGCTATTAAGTCACATATTCAGTTGTGTGGGAAGAAGAGCTCTTTTCATTTAATGAAGATGGCCTGAATTCAAGGGTATAGTAAGGATTGCTTACTTGTCAAGTGGTTGGTGTTTCTAATGGTGTCCCACAGGAAGTAGAGTATGTTGCTTCTTTAATTAAACCCTCTCATGTCATCCTTCCAAGCCAGCCATCAGTCATGGCACTTACAATATGAAGGAGGAATTATGTAATCATCCATATCAGTTCTTGACCTTCATCTAATTTTTATATTTAGCTTTTGCTACCAGTGGTAGGTTATAAAATGTTGTACAGGGACAGGGATCCAAAAAAAAAGGTCACTTTAATTCATTGTAATCAATTGCATAACTGCTTATAAGTGGTTCCATATATAGCCACACTCTGTGATTCAGTAGCTAGCAGCAACTTGCATATTTAAACTGCATAGATGTGAATGTGGCTATGGAAAGCAATTTGCTGTGCATGACTTCTTACATGTTTTTTTTTTTTTTTCCCAGGCATTTGGTCGTTATGTGGCCAAGGATCAGCTGGTGTCTGGGGCATACAGAACAGAATATGGTGCCCAAGCAGAGTTGGAGGCTGTCATGCGGCGAGTGGAAGAATTTGTGGGCTTGGAAGGTCGTCGACCCAGGATCTTGGTTGCCAAGATGGGTCAAGATGGACATGACCGTGGGGCTAAGGTGATTGCAACTGGATTTGCTGACCTTGGCTTTGATGTCGATGTTGGACCACTTTTCTCGGTGAGAGAAGAATCTCTTCGTTTTATTCTATGCACTTACCAGTTATTGCAACATTGATGCATGGAAAAGCTATTTATTATCAGGTATTTGCTAATTAGGCCAACTTTTCTAACTCTGTGTTCCTTACATATATATATTTTAATTTATTTAATTATATTAATTTATTTATTTCTTAAGCTTTGCCCCAGCTCTGCAAGCTATTTTGGCATAGTATGTTTCCAGGGTTCAATGGTTTTCTGCCCTCTTCTCCTGGGCTAGAGGCCGGACATTTCCTGCCTGTTGCCGTGGGGTGGCTTTGGCTTGGAGGAACATCGCAGTTTTCTTCTATTCAATCTATATATCCATATATATATAATCTACATCTATATAATCTACATATACGAGGGCCACTCAATAAGTTATCTACCTGAATAAGAAGAAACATCAGAGGGGAAAAATAACACTTTATTTTTCGATGTAGTCACCTTTCAACTCAACACACTTATTCCACTTTGATTCCAAGGATTTTATTCCCTGGGAATAGAAGTCAACTTCTTGTCCATCAAACCAATCAGAAACGGCAACTTTCAGCTCTTCATTGCATGAAAATCTTTTTCCCCGCAAAAATTTTTTCAAGTGTCTGAACAGAAAATAGTCACTAGGAGCCAGATCCGGGCTGTAGGGAGGATGGTTGAGCTCCTGAAAGCCACACTCCCTCACTGCTGCCTGAACTTTCCATGATTTGTGGACGGGCGCGTTGTCATGGAGAAGGA